GTGGAGATAGCTCAAACTTTCTACACATACAGCATTAAATACATCAATATACATGTACATCAATATATATGTGCATGTACGTATCAAGTTGTTGTAGCATTTATGCATTACTTGAATTTATTTATTTATTCCCCGGCAGTGCTCTATCAGCAGCTGTTACCTCCACTCCCATTAAAGACCCAGCCCCCACCAGTTCTTCCAATCCGTCAGATAAAGGTACTCCTACTCCTCCTACTGACCCACCCCCAAAGACTCAACCTCAGTTAGTGAAGGCACACACTATAGGTCATTCCAGTGGGGGCGGGGCTGAGTCTCATAAAGACGCTAAAGGAAGGAGAGCAACTTATTCATTCACTGACCAGGTAGACCAGGTATCAATTTATTATTATTAATTTATTATTATTATTATTATTATTATTATTATTATTATTATTATTATTATTATTATTATTATTATTATTATTATTATTATTATTATTAATTTATTATTATTATTATTATTATTATTAATTTATTATTATTATTATTTCTCTCTTTACAGGGTGTTAATGATGATGAAAGCATTGCCCGTTATATGCAGGTAATATTAATATATATTATTGTTATTATTATTATTTATTATCTTTATACATTAATATGTACATGTACGTGTACAGTAGTATAGATGTATTATGATGTATTGTCTGTATAGCTGCAGTTGAATAATGAAACTTATAATGAAGATTTGAAATTTGCTGAGTCACTGCAGGAGATCAATGAGCCACCTGAAATTGATGAGAAAACAACACTGAGAATAAACCTGGTTAGTTATTAATAGTTATTAGTAGTTATTAATAGTTATTAGTAGTTGTAGATGCTATATTTAGTAACATTACACCATATTCTATTTATAGTATCAATATTTATTTAGGGACTAAGTAAAGATGCAACTGATGAGGAAGTACAGGCACGTCTTCAAGAGTTTACTAAGTAACATATTATTTGTATATCATTAGTATATTATTAGTATACTCTTATTTTGTAATTTTGTTTGTTCCCTTGGCATTTTGTGACTTATTTTTTTTCACAATAAATTTTTCCTTACTGCATATCATTGACTTTAATGTCTGCTACCATGTATAATATAACATCCAAATTTTGTGTTGGCCTAACATTTTTTCAGTTGTATCAAGATGGACCATATTTGATGGAATGATTATCCACAAGCTTCTGTATGT